AAAGAAAAGAAAGAAAGAAAGAATGACAACTCCTGTCTCATGCTCAAGTTAGCTATTTCCGGAGTTAGATCAAAGCCTAGTTCCATCATTTATCAGCCACATCATTTTGACCCTATTACATAGCCTCTCTGAGACTCAGTCTCCTCATCTGTAAAATGAGGCTAAGAAGAGAGTTATCCTGTTGCAGAGATTGAGACATCTAGCAGAGTGTCTGGCATATGGTAGATGCTCAATAGGTAGTATTTGTTAATATTAGGTTTTATATTCTGTGCCATTTTTATTCTTTATTATTAAAGTCAAACTCATTATTTCTCCCCCCAAACTGATATACCTTTTATAAGTTTTCCAGTCAGATAAATAATACCAAAGCTTTTCTAGTTTACCATATTCGAATCCCTGGGATCATCTTTCATCCCTCCATAAGGACCAAGTCCCTGCTACTCTGCAACAGCTCTCTACTGCATCCTTCATTTTCAGTTCTCTAACATAAGATAATTATTTATTGAACACCTACATACAGGCTGTACCCCAATGATGGATCTTCACAGCTTTGTATAAACGTGTATCTCAAAAGTATATGACTTACTACTTCAAAATAAACAAAAACTTCTCATAAGTCAACCACAGTCACGGGAAACGAATTATATGAATCAGTACTTTCTGTCCTAGGCTCAATGAGCATCACTCTCCAGCCTGTCTATCAAGCTGTACAAGTCCACTCCTCCAGTTCTTATTGCATGTCTTTACTTCAACCCCATCAAACTCTCCTTGCCTTGTTGTAAGCATGACCTCTTTGGGTTTTTGTTAAGAAAAGCATGCTATAAAACATGCCTATCTCACAGGCACTTTAAAACAGACACGCAACGCTGGGCGAGGCGGTTCATGTCTGTAATCCCAGCACTTCGGGAGGCCGAGGTGGGTAGATTAGTTGAGGTCAGGAGTTCAAGACCAGCCTAGCCAATGTGGTGAAACCCTGTCTCTACTAAAAATACAAAAATTAGCAGGGCATGGTGCCACATGCCTGTAGTCCCAGATACTCTGGAGGCTGAGGCAAGAAAGAAAAAAAAACAGACATGCAAATAAAAAGATAATTAACTATG